CCCCAAAATGTAGCATGCTTGGAGTGCATGGGGTTAAGAGGGTGCCTGAGGCAGAGCAAGGCTGTTAGGAGGAGCTTACCTGGAGCTGGCAGCTGAGAACAATTCTGCTTGCCCCAAATAAATGCTCTATGCCCATGTTCACATGTCCACCATAGTGAAATTCAACACCCATGTCCCAAAAAGAGGTGCACATCTACTGCCTTTGGTTTGGCCTTTATAGTTCAAGTGTCACATTAACAAGTCTTTGCCTATGTTGCTTTTCTGTGCTGGAAAGTAGCTCTAGTAAATCACAGAATTGCAGAAAATGGGTTTCTTCGTCAGATCCACAAATGGAAGTGGATAATGGTGTTCTGCAAAGAGCAGGGACTTGGCCTAGAGCTGTCACACTCTGCAGCGGTTGCAAATTGGATGGCGTTGCTGAAGATCCAGCAGGTTTCCTGATGTACTCTGCTCTGTCGTTCAGGCTTTGGTGCTGTAATCCTGTGGTGGTCTCTTATGCTCTTGGAAGAGGTAGGTAGAGTGACAAGGCTAGTTGCAGTGCCCTCTTCCTTAGTTTCCTAAATAGTTGCTTGCCAGCTGCTCAAGTGTTTGTGGTTACTGGAATAAGGCAGGCTTCTTCATCTGGCTGTGAAATGGGTCAAGCAGCAGCAAATGTCTCCACTTGAGGAATTTTTCAGATTATAGGGAAGATGCTTAGTTGTGCATCAGGAAAACCTCGTGTAACTAGTAGGTTTATGCCTAACAAGAGCTTTCCTAAGCCCCTGATGATCCCCAGTGTATCTTAGGAATGCAATTGGCTCATCCTCTGAAAGCTTTCACTTGAGATTTGTTTCTTTTTTTGCAAAACATACTTGAGAAGCTTAATCTTTAGGGGTGCAATTCCTAGCCTTTAAAACTGGAGGTGTGAAGAGGTATGAAAGGCAAAACAATGCTTCTGCTGGGAGCTGCCTTCCCATTTGTGATTCCCAAGGCTGCCAAAATGCTGGCCTTGCCTCCTGCCTCTCTGGATTTGGTTTGGAAGCTCAGCCTTGGTTAGAGCTCCAGTCCACAAGGTTGCTGCACATGAAGGCAAGTCTGGTTTTGTCACTGAACAGAACTTACAGTTGAGTTGTGGTTGTCCTTCCCCTGCTTTGTATGCTCAGGGGCCTTGTTCATGGAGGGGCTTCCTCCGTATTCAGGCTCTGCTAGAAATTAGCATGAGGGAGCAAAGGGAGACATCTTCATGGCCACAGAGGTGGTAGGAGTGGGATCTACTTTGGGTCATGTTTACTTAACCATCCTGTTGCCTTCTTTCTCTGTATTTTCTCAGTTTTCAAGCTAAAACACATCTGCTGGATTTTCACCTGGCTTTGCAAGTGGCCTAGGTCTGGAAAGCTCAAACATCTGAATGTCTTTGTGTGTGAATGAACATTACCTTTCAAGACTAAGTCTGATGGCTCAGATGTTGCTGCTACAGGACAGGGACTGAATCGTGCTCAGCTCTCCCCATGCTACCTTAACCTGCCTGCCACAAACTGCCTGTGGTTCACAGCTCCTGGTGCCAGTCCCTGCTTGTTCTCTCCACACAGGCTTAGGCTGTAATTTTCTAAATATTCTCCTGTTTCAAATGCCTGGTTGGTGCAGCCACACTGCATACCAGACCAGGGGAATAAGCCAGGCTTAAAACTAACTCCCTGTGGCTTGGTTTTAACCGAATCGGCTCCCCAGCCCAGCTTCCTGTGTGGAAACTTAACTGCCTAAACTGGTGTAAGTGGGGAGGGAGTGCTGGGGTGGGGACGAGCAGCTGGGGCTGCAGCTTGTGTAAACTGTCTGGGCTAGTAGGCTCTAACTGCAGGTTAAGAGCTGAACTGTGTGGAGATGCTCACCTTTAAGAAGCCTTTGAAATGTCTTAAATGCAGTGGTAACATTTAAAGTCTGAAAAATGCAGCTTTCTGTCCAGGCAGTGGTGTGGAAAGCTGTCCAGCCTGCACTGCCGTGCGCCCTGGCTCCAGGGATCTCCTGGACAGACAGGAGGGTGTCATCCAGGAGAGCCACCTGCTCCAAGGCCGGCATGGGAGCGTTTCACTAAGGACTTCCTTCTCATGATGCTGTTGAAACCAAACCTAACCGGCTCAGGAGGCGGGAGCTCGGTCTCTCCCAGACGCTTGGGCACAAGCCCAGTGCAGCACGGCTCCCTCTGCCAGGATGGTTGGCTTCCAGTGGCAACTCCAGGGAAGAATCCAGGTTGGAAAGACTCATGCTGGTTCTTGGGGCTTGGGACAGTCTGCAGCAAAGCATTTGGGCTGGGTTGGGCTGTCACATTGCAAAGTAAAATTATTTAATATTTGGTAGACATTTACTTATGAATAACTTGAGGTTATGACTCTTTAGACTGAATTTTTGTAGGAAATTAATTCTTCCTGCCCCAGTATTGTTAGTTTTGTCTGCTATCAACAATTGATTGCTTTGTAACAAATTTCCAGGCTCTGAATTTGAAAATATTCTAGAAATCCATTTAAATTCTATTTTTTAACTCCGTGTTTTTCCTTGATGACCTGTATCAATCTTTCAGTGTGGCTGGGAGTGTTAAAGGGAAAGCAGGCTTGTGCTGGCTGTTTGCTTCAGATGGGAGAAGGTCTGATTAAAAAAATGCTGGTTATCTAAGCAAATTCTGCTCTGTGCTTCAGCAGTTATACCCATAACTGAATTGTGGGGAGCTTCTCTTTAATGTAGATTGAAGTCATCAGAGGGAAACATAGATCTCTTGAACTTGAATCTGATTTGGTTCAATTAAACAAAACCAGCATTATTTCCTAAGAAATGCAGATAGCTAGGGAAAATGTGGCTGGGTGCTGTGGAGTGAGTGCTTCCTGTTGCTGATAAATTTGTTCTGTGTTTTCTTTATTTCTTCAGTGATCGGTTTCATCCAAGATGTTGAATGAGGGACTCTGAGTGGGATTCAGTTTCTGCTGTCTGATATTCTCTGTGCCCATGCTTCCCAAAAGATGAAGCTCGGTGGGAATTAATCTTGAAGGTGGCATAAAACCTAGCAAGGTCCTGGTCCCCAGAGGGACGGTAGTCTCCTACTGCCAAGGATCTGGGCTAGAGCACACTTGTGCATTTTCATAAATGCAGAAATGTTACATATTCATATGGGCAAGTTATGGTTGCTGTGGGAACTGAGCAATGTGCCTTTATCCTCTCTTCCCTACAGCTGCATTATAAATGTTTTTTAGGGCCTGTCCAAAACAAGCAATCTGAAAACTATACTGGTAGAATTAATTCAGTGGAATACCCTGCTGAAGATGCAGTGTGATGCTTTTGGAGGAATATTTGCTGCTGTTACAGGTGCTTGATAGTAATGTGACTGATTTGGTACTACAGCTTATACTAGTACTACTAGGGGAGTAGGGAGAAAAAAAAGCCTGGTGGATGCTATCCTGGTGGAGTGCTGTGGAGGAGGCTGCAGCTGGGAAGGGGGAGGGTGGCAGGTTGCCAGCAGGTACTGTTTTAGCTGCTCTCATCCTGACTGCAGTGCTTCAGCCCCCTTGCTGTGATCTGGGAATGTCTGCGCTCCCCAAATCATCATGGGGTGAAGGTGAGGGTCCCACCTCCAGTGGCGGTGGCCTGTCTTGTGCAGGGTCCCTAACTGCCACCAGCCCTTGCCTAGGCTTTGCTGGGTCATGGGCAGCTGAGTGGCATGGCACAGGATGTGGATGTGGCAAAGGAGGCCAGGAATGCTGTCAGGCTGTCGGGGGTGGCCAGGCCACACGTGAGGGGTAACGTGACAGGCTGGAGCGGCTGCAGTGCCCTGCCGAAGAGCTGGAGTGGTGTGTGTGCGAGGTGTGCAGCTGATGGCACAGTGGGAGGGTGTGGGGGCAGTGAGAGGAGGAGCAGACAGCTGCTGCTGCTCAGGAGCTGGCTTATAAATGCCCTCTGACTCAGATTTTGGGTAACACAGCAGAGCATCTTGTGGTTTCATCAGCCCCCAGATCCCCGCATTAAACTGGAATTCTCAGACTATGAACCTGCTGCGTTTCCTTAGGCTGTTGGCACAGGCTTAAACCCAGGCAAGAATCTGCTGTCTCCCGTAGGCTTGTGAACACCCTGCAGGGGAGGGGAGAGCTGGGAGTGTGGAAGGGGGGACCAGGCAGGCAGAAGGTAAACAGGCCATGAAAAATTCCTGATGTGAAATGGGTCCTGCACTGCGGCCGGTCCTCTTGTTCCTGTACCAGTGTGATGAGCCTGCTCGGGCTGGACCTGGGATAATGGGCTTCTCTCTGGGTAGCGGGGTTGAAGGTTATCCTTGTTGCTCAGTGGTAAACAATGCAGAGTCAGTGAGGCACAGTGGCCAAGTTGAACCAAATAGATTATGCTAGCAGAATTGCGAAGCTTTGCATTGGGCTCTGAATTGGAGCCAGCAGCTGGAGTCTGTCCAGGACTAAAGTGTTTTTGGGTTTGGTGGGTGGAGGGAGGCGGGGACAGGAGAGCTGGGTAGCACTAAAACTGTCTGCTCTGTCGCTGCTGCTGTTCTCGTCGTTGCTGGGGGGATTGCTGCCTCGAGCCTGGCGTCTGCCGTGCTGTGTTGTGGAGCCCTGCTTTTGTGCTGCCTGCCTCCCTCGATTTGCTGGAGCTGCACCTCTCTCCTCCTGCCTGCTGTCTTGTCTTTCGGGGGGAAATCTTATCTTTCTTCTTACCTTTATTTTGTAAGAGCTGATGCAGTTCTCTTGCATGGCTCTCTGACGTCACTGTCAGCACAGTAAGCATCAGCAGCCTGGTCACATGCTGACCCAGTCAGTAATGCAGACGGGATAGGAAGGTGGAGGGGCTGAGGGGGGTGGGGGGCTGGCTTCTGGACATATGGTAGCCCTGCCTTTTGGGGTGCAACTGCTAGTTGCAGAAGCTGTGGCTTCAGAGCAGCACAAGACCTGGCTTGGGGCTTAAGGCTTTGGAAAACTCCTTTAAAAAGAAAAAAAGCAGCCCTGAACTCTCAAGCTTCTATTTGTTCTCAATCTGAGCAGACTTCCAGGACTCTGAAGAAGCAGTGGCAAGCAGGATGCTTTTCCCCACGTCCACGCAAGAGTCTTCCCGTGGCCTCCCAGACACCAACGATCTGTGCCTTGGCCTGCAGTCCCTCAACCTGACAGGGTGGGACAGACCCTGGAGCACCCAGGACTCTGATGCTGCAGCACAAACCAGCACACAGTCCGGTGAGTCTGCTGACAAATGCAGCAACAGTTGTTGGGTTTCTTTTATTTGTGGCCACTTTAAACCTAATGTGGAGTGATTTGCTTGTGTAATGGGGTGCTGGCAGTTACTGGTGGGGGCTTCTCAACCCGTAATGCTTGTGTAATGTGGCAGTTGAGTTGGGGAGGCTGTGGCTGGCTATGCCACAACCCCCTCTGCTCTGCTGTCAGTTCACTGCAGACAAGAAGTGCCCAGCCTTTTATTTTTCTTGGTGCTGTAATGCTGGTGGAGGAACAACCTTGCTGAGAGAGGAGGAATCCTCTCCCTGTGTTCAGAGGGAGTGGGTGGGGGATGTGGTGTCAGGAGACTGAACACGCTGGGTAGGAGTGAGGCTGAACTTTGCTCTGGCAGCCTGAGAAAATCCCCGGTGGCAGGTAGCTCTGCAGGCGAGGGTGTGTGGGCTTGCGGAGGGACACCCCCTCTGCCCTGCTGCGAAAGTCTGGGCAGCACCACTTGCTCCTGTGCTAGGGCAGTGTCACCTGCCGAACTCTGCCTGCCGGGTGTGGTAGGTGCAGCTGGCACCTGATTAACAACTTCAGCTGGCACCTCGCAGGCTGGGTGGAAGACTTGGAGGGATCCTTCTCCACTCCCACGTTCAACTAGAAATAGCGGTCTGTGCCTAGCAGTGGGCTGGAGGAGATGCAGTGGAATGGCTTCTTGCTTTAACTCTTTTGGTCCAGTGCAAACCGATGTGATTGGCAGGGTGTGGGCTTGCAGCTGTGCTGTGATGTTTGCTGTTCCCCCTCAATCCTCTCCAGTCTGGTTTTGCAGCTGGGATTGGTGGGGAGTTTTTGGAGTAGTGGGTGCTTTCCCTGGTGTGGTGCAGGGTTCGGTTAACTCTTGCAGAGGCACCAGCCTTCTCTAAGATTGCAGGAGAGGGGGCTGATGCATGCAGAAGCTTAATGCATCTTCTCAGCCTGGTGATGGAGCAGGGGGGTAAAACAGAGGGAAGAGTTCATTTCCCAGCCTTTGAGGGCTATAAAAGCCAGTTTCCCAAATGGTGGTGTGTTCATTCAAGTATCAGCCCATGGAAAGATCTAGTGCTTTGGCAGAGTTTGTACAAGTTCAGCCTGGTTGCTACAGAAACTCATCCCTTTATAGCAGCACGCTGCTGCTTTGTTAAAAGGGTAGTGCATCTCTGCGCAGACTTGGGTGACACAGGAGGCCCCAGGCGTAAAGTTGGTGCTGACAGGAATGTAGATAGCTTCTGGGGTGGCCTGGGTGGTGTGGTTTGTCCATGCAGATGTTGAGGGGGGCAAGGGGGTGCTATTGACCATCTCTGATGTCCAGGGGATGCTGCCCTTGGGATAGGAAGAGCTGCTGGGACGCAGCGCTGAATATTGCTGCAGGGGTTGTAAAACAAACAAACAAAAAATCACTTGTGGGGTTTGAAAGGACAGCTTCATCAGCACAGCATATTTGAGTTTCTACATCTAATTTCCACAAGACTTAGTGTGCAGGCTTGCGTGTGGGCCCTAGCACAGGCACTTACGTTGTCGGGCTGTGGTAGCTTTACTAAGCCTTGCTCTGCTCAAGTGCATGGTCCTATGGGCTTCCTGTAATGCACCAGGGAATACCACACACTAAGTATCTGTCCTCCTTTCATTGCCAGCTGAAACCTTCAAAGAGGGAGAAATAAAAGTTATTAGTGTGCAGTGGGCTGGTTGAGTGCCTTAGAGCTGTGCACTGAGCCCTTTATGGTTGTTAGCAGACTATGGGGCACTGAACCTGTGTTATGGGATTGTTAATGTACAGGGCACACTTAAAGCAGGCGACATCTATGCTGAATGGCTCTGCTGCTGGTAACAACCACCACACCTGGAGCTCGGAGCTCAGCTGCGGAACAAGGGCTGGCACGTGCTGAGGCGGCTGATCTGTGCGGATGTCCCAGCCCCACCTGATCTGCTGTAGCCATCTCCAGTGCTCTCTTGGCCGGCTTCCTGCCAGGCTGTCTTGGCAGAGGCGTGGATGTCTCTGCAGCGCTCCGGCAGGCAGGCGAGCAGTGCTTGCACAAGCCTGTGGCAGGATTTGCACCTTGCAGGTTGGGTGGTGGGGCTGAGTGGACTGTGGTTGTGAAGTTTGCTGTCCAAGGGTGGAGGGGCTTCTGGTTTCAGGAGGGAGAACCATTTGGTGACTTGAAGGTGCTCCAGTGACCTCCTTGCTTGCAGAGGTTGTATCTGGTGTCAGGTGCCCCTGGTGACTGCAGTGCATTGTGCTGGAGCTGCTGCCTGCCGCAGAGGCCTGGGAAGAGCAGTAGAAAGGATCTAACCTCAGGCACTGCCTTGGGCTCAGATGATCTGCACCCAGTGGGTGTTTGTGACAACTTGTGGTAACAGCAGCTGGAAGATGGCACTCAGTACTGTTTGGAGAGGCCCATTTTCTCACTCCGCACTCCTGGTATTCCCCTCAGTACATGAAGGGGGGATGGCTGGGGTGTAAAAACCAGCCCAAATGCAGCTGTGCTGCTTCCACAGAGGAGCCTCTGGCCTTCAGAGGCTGTGCAGAAGGCCTAGTGCCATAAGGCTGGGGGTGTCACGGATCTGAGACCACATTCTCAGTGTCACCTTCCCTTTCTGGGTGTGTGGCAGCTGGGCCACGAGTGCTCCTTCATCTGGGCTGCTGTTACTCGGTGCTCGAAGAGCTGTGGGGTTGGTATATGCTGGCTGGAGAAGTGAAAGGCTGATCTCTGTGCATGGCTGTTGTATTGCTTCAGCCTGCTCACTCCTTCCGTGTCTGCAGAGCCTCATCTTTTCCTCCTTTGTAAGGGCCCTGAAGTGGATATGGAGCATCTTGGGAGGGAAGATCTTGTAATTCAGGAGTGTCTTCTGAAAGGCTGTGGAACTCTTCTCTCTGTGTGGCAGAGGAATGTTCCCGTGTCTGAAAGCTGTATGGATCTGAGAGGCTGGCAGGTGCCAGTGCTTCCGAGTGGCCTAGCTGTGCTGTGATGGAAAGAGGGAGGACACAGAGGATGCTGTTGTGTCTGGGTGCTCCCAAGGCCTGGTGCTAAGGCCTGGGAGGCTGCAGCTGGCCTTGCCCCAAGGGCTGGGGTCTCCATCAGGGTGTCCTGAGAGCAGGTGAGGCTGCATCAGCACTGGGCTGTCTCTAGGGCCTGGGGAGGGATGGTGCTGCCAAGCAGAGCTGTTGTGCCGCTGGCGCCCAAGCTTTTGGAAGGTTCCAGCAGTGACTCAGCTGCGCAGACCCACAGGGAGGTGGCTGGAAGGGTGGAAATGCAAAAAAAAAAAAAAAAAACCCCACACAAACCCCACAAACAAACAAAAAAACCCAACACAAACCTGAACAATCAGGCTAAAAATATTGCTGATGTGGTCCCCTGCAGTGCTTGTGCTTGAGTACAGATGAGCTGGGACCTCCTCTCCTGTCTGCATAGTCCCTGCCAGCGCAGAGCTTTCTCAACCCAGGGAAGGACCTTTGGCTACAAACCCTTCTGGTGTCCCCTTGTACTCCCAGGGCGGTGCCACTGTGCAGCTTGGTGCAGTGGGATCAGGTGCCTGCTGCTGGCCAGGGCTGTGCCAGAGGAGGCCAGAGAGCAGCGGGGCTGGTTTGTACACTCCAGTGCTGCCTATGTCACCCTTCTGAAAGGGCTGCTGAACTCCTTGCACCCAGACAAGGTTACTTGTAACTAGTTTTCCTTCTGGGTCCAGTGCTGTAAGGCAGTGAGGAAGTGGGCTTAGCCCTTGAGAGCGTGCCAGATGTGCTGCTAGTCCCTGAAGCTGGTGGCTGGAGAGAGCCTCTCCAGGAGGCAGCAGCTGCTGCAGGCTCGAGTTACCTGCATTTATTGGCTATAGAATTGAACTGCTGTCTCATAGCAGGAAAGGCATCTCAAACCCATTGCTGCCACTAGATCTGTCAGGCTGGAAATACTTCAGCAAGTCTCAGAAACCTGCTCTGTGGCCCATGGAGGGGCTTTTGCAGGAAGCTAGCCTTGAACACTTCCAGTCCTGCCATCCCTAGCTGTGTTTCTTGAGGCAGCATTTCTCCTTTCAAGTAGCCTCATAGTAGATGCATGCTTGTGTTGATATCTTCAAGTTCATTGCTCTGCAGAGACAAGAAGGGGTTAAGAGGCAGTGAGATGGGACTGCCCTTAATGGTACCCTTTACCTTTGCTGCCCTGTTCCTCAAGGAGTACAGGCAAATGGGGTCTTGATCCAATTTTTGCCTGGAGAATGGGTGACAGCAGTACACAAGCAGGTCTGTGTGCAGATTTTGGGTCTTCCTGGCTGGTTTTTAGCCTGCATGCCAGCTGCTTGGTCTGGTCTGTCCTGCCCTACATTGGGAGGCTGTCCCTATGTGGGACAGGGGACTTGCCCACTGGGAAATCATCCTAAAACCAGTCTGTTAACACTGAGTTTGCAATGCTAACCTGCAAGGGTGTTTTCAGAAGGATCAGCTCTTCCAGAGGGGGTTTCTGCGCCTCTAGGTGAGCTCTTCCCAATGGTATTGGATGGAGCACCTTGCTGTATTGGCCTCTGTGCTTGTCGTGTGACCCTAAAGCTGCTGCTGCAGCAACAGATTTGAGATTTTCCTTGGATCTGCTCTTGAGACTGCAGCTCCCACCTCATCTGTGCCTTCTCTGGGGTGACAGCTGCTGTCTCGTTCCCTAGCCTTCAAGGTTACAGCTCCAGTTGCCCTGGTGCTGGGGAAATGGTCTGTGGTAGGGAAGTGCTGCTGCATCTTTTCAGCCCTTGGTTCTCTTCCTTCCCAGAGCACAGCAACTTCTTTCTGCAATAAGCTTGAACATGCTGATTATCTGTAGTTGCTTAAAATCTGCTAGGCTAGAACTGCAGGCAATCTGCTGTGCATCGCCTGGCAGATAGCTGAGGCTTCTGAGTACAAATGACTCTGAAGTCTTCAAGGCAAAACCCGATCTCTGAAGGATGAAAGGAAAGTCCTGTTGCACAGAAGGAAGCACGGTTGTCATGGACTCCTAGCCTTTCTTCTCAGT